TTGTCTCTGTGGCGCAGAGCTCTCTACAGGCCCCCACCCCGAGGGAGTAAACTGAAGAGAGCTCGGCGCAAGCCTCCCGGAAATACGCCTCAGGGTATCCAGAGAAGCGAGATTCTTTCGCATACAAACAGCTCCCCCCCACCACCTCCCAGTCCTCAGTCCTCAGCCCTGGAAAGGGCGCCGGGTCTGAGTTGGGAGACTGAAGCTCCTTTGCAGCAACACTTCTCATTGCCAGGTGACCTGGGACACAAGTCCATCTATTTCTGCATTCCTTCCACACTGATCGAGCACCTTTTATACGCCAGTCATTGGCAATAAAACATGGTCTCTGCCCAAGGAGGCTAACCATCCAGTTAATTATCTCTAACCTCTCAGGGGATGCTAATACCTCTTGCACATTACTGTGAGGTTGGAATGAGTTGGTGCATGAAAATATTCGTCAGCAATGAGTTCCCCAATGGTGGTTAATCCTTCTCAAGCTTATGCCAACAAACCATTTTCTGGAGCTTCTACTCTCCCAGCCCACAGGATGGGTGGTGGGCTAGAAAGGAGCTTGGAGGCTGGCTGGATAGTCCCAGCAGTAGCCTTAGGATCAAGGAGGTGACTGAGATCCCAGGTTGTCTCCACCATTGCTTCCTGACGTGCCCCTGTCTTCAAGGAACACTACTTGTTTAGGTCAGCCTCTGATGTGGGAATAGGGGAAAGGGGACCCTGGCTCTGGGAAGGGATGGCAGGACCCCAAGTCCTCAATAGTCCTCTTTCCCTTGGAGATCTGTCACAAGTGTCTTTTGCCACCTTTTCCCTGGCCTCTGGGGCACTGTACCCTTCTAACACTCAGGCCAAGAGCGGGCTCAGCCTGTTCCCTTCATGCCCAAAGACCTCTGAGTCCACAAGGCAGGATCCAAAAAGACAGTCAAAGCTACGGCAGACACAAGGTAACTAGCATCTCCAGAGTCTGGATTTAGCCACAAGTCAGCTCTGGGCAGGAGCCTGTCCTATGTCATGGCACCCCCTGCAGGGCAGAGCCAAAGCCCTGCCAGGCATGGCCTAGCCTGTCTGTCTCTAGTGTTCCTGCTTCCTTGCTCAGTTTGGAGGCAAAGCAAGCCATGGGCATTAGCACTGCCCGTGCCACTTGGCTTGTCCAAGAATTGCTGTCCCTTGCCCACCCTGGCAAACATCAGGCCAGGCCCGTCCTCTTAGGCCCAGTCTGTTCGGTATCCTCTCCACCAGTGACTCCATTCACTCTGTGCTTCCTCCTCTATCTAAAAGTTTCTAGAATCTCCTTCCCATTTGCAATAGGCTCATGGGGGATGGTGTCCCAGCTGCTCTCATTTAAGGGGCTTTACTTTCTTGGCTCTCTGTGGGCCTGAGTCATATACTTCTCCACATAGATTGTTTTTCTAGATTCTCTTAAGCCAGGTCTTACCTCACTGTAGCATTTCTGCGGGGTCTGACATTCGGCTCTGGTCCCATGGGCCTCCTCAGCATCCCTGCCACTCCACTGACATGCTCCTCATTGCTGTTCTCCTCAGCCCTGCATCCAGCCACTTCCTGCTGCCACAAAAGGCACCTTCCTCACTCCTCAGAATCAGGAAAGAGTCTCAGCCATCCCAGCCCTCTGCTGGAGCCCTGGCCCCTCCCCTTCCAGGTGGTCTACGGCCCGAGGTCTGAGGTCTGAGTAATTGGAACGCTGGCCACACCAGGGCGCCCTATCAGGTGTGTCTTCCTCGCTCCTTAGAAGCTAGAAGTGGAGCCAGTTTTTCCCACTATCCCATGCACCCTTCTGTCAGGACACAGGAAGGGAGAATCCTTCCAGTCCCTGCTTTTGTAGACAGGGAACCAAGTAAGCTTCCCCCCTTGGCCCTGGATCCAGCCGGCATAACAAGCACAACAGCTGTCTTTTCTCCCTCACCTGAGGCAGACTGTATTGGGGGATTCAACCATTCCTTCTTCCCATCCTTTTGCCAGTGTTGACAGGACCTATGTCCTTGCACATGGGCCAAGGAAGTGAGGACACGCTTATCTCCCAGAAGTCTGTGGGAGGTGTAGCCCCTCATAGATTGTGCATTATTTATTTTATTCATTAAATTTTTAAAATTTTTTTAATGTTTATTTTTGAGAGAGAGACAGCAAGAGAGAGAGCTTGAGTGGGGGAG